TGGCTGAATCACCAAGGCTGGGCCTCCGACATCATCCACCTCCCTTCACACCAGGAAAGGAATATCTGGACTCTCAGCTTAAAGAATCAGGATAAGGCGCTCTGGGCAGGATCAAATGCTTATTCATTCTATGGCTCACAGGCTTCTGAAAGCCTGAGTTTGGCCTATCCAGGAATTGAGCTATTCCGGCACCCACAGTAATGTGTTCTTACTGGGGGCAGGAAGAGGAAATTCCTGCTCATTACTGACTTTGTCACCAAGAAGGACAGAGACTAAGGCAGAGTCTCCAACCCGGAAATGAAAACTGAGCTTCATATCAAGGGTTGGGTGCCCTCAGCTGCATTCATCAGATATTTAGTTTTTCTCTCTGAGCGAAAAGAGAAAAGATGCCATGGTGTGTGTCTGAATAAGTCCTCCTAAATTTCCTATATTTATCTCCTTAAAGGAGACTCAGCACCCACTTCATGAGAAAAAAGCAAGATATTTTCAGATAAATAAAATGAGGGCACGGAACATGACTAATTAGTTTTAATCTTTTTATAACAACACATGCATATTGCTTTAAAAATAATATAGAATCAGGCGTGGTGCGGTGGCTCACACCTGAATTCCAGCACTTTGGGAGGCGGAGGCAGGCAGATCACTTGAGGTCAGGAGTTCAAGACCAGGCTGGTCAAAATGACAAAACTCGTATCTACAAAAAAATAAAAAATATTAGCCAGGTGTGGTGGTGCATGCCTGTAATCCCAGCTACTTGGGAGGCTGAGGCAGGAGAATCACTTGAACCTGGGTGGGGCGGTTTCTGTAAGCCAAGATCACACCACTGCATTCCAGCCTGGGCGACAGAGCAAAAGAAAAACAAAAAAAGAATTGAAAAGTGTGAAATTACAAACAACAGAGCCCTGCCCATTTCTTCCCCACCAAATCCCACTCTCCTAAGGCAACCACTTCCCTTCTTTTATCCCAATCCTCTGATCCAGTCAGGAAAGGCATTGTCTATGCCAGAGACACAGCTTCATCCTGGGAATCTTCACACCCCCTCCCTGGGTGAAGCCACCATTCCATGACTCTTGGGATTGCCCTCTTCTTAGTCTATTTCTCTTTCTGACTCATTTGCTTATCTAACCCATTTATTTACCATCAAGTCATGTAGGTATAAACATCAAAACATTTTTCCTTTTCTTCTTCTTTAATTTCTACTTTCGATGTTGCTATATTCACTTGCTTTTTATCTCACTGGATATCAGGTCCTCTAGCAACATCCCAGTCAAACTTCACAACTTTCTTGTTATTTTTTTTTTTTTTTTTCAGAAGAGCTTCTCAAGATGGTGGGCATAGGCGAATGGGTCGTGTTCCCCTACCAGTGCTGAGATGTTGGGGGCCAAGGAAAAGCATAGGAAAGGATAGGAAAGGCAGAGTTCTGGCAGCACTGGCTTTGGGTTTGCAGAGGGAGGGGTTCCCACATTTTCTGGTACAGTCTGATTTCCTTTGGTTGCAGTAAACAGTGTGTTGTAGTTTCTTGGACAGTGTGACTGACCATCAGTGTCACCCTGCCTGTCTCCATCATGAAGCTCTCTCAGGACCTGAATAGCTCCCAGGTTCAAATTCTTTTCGTGGTTGGACATCCCATCACTTGACACATTAATCCCTTGGGGAAAATCTCACGGTTCCAACCCTTCTGCCAACCACTGGCTTCTTTGCATGGAGTCATGAGAGTCTTCAGTCTTCTACACTTTAAGTGTCTAAAAGTTCTGAGTTGGGGTGGGAGTTTCTGACAAGTTCTTCCAAGGAAGGTGACCACACAGTTTCTTTAGGTTCTGCTGGTGCTGGGAAGGTTAGAACCTTGTCTTCACATATCTCTAGAGTACACCACACTTCAGTAAAATCACATCAGGGTCTCCCTGAACTCCCTCACCACACGCTGCCCTGGCCAAGGAGCCAAGGTGAGCCTGTGGGTCTCTAGGTGTGGCAAAGCTCCCAGTCCCACTGCCTGTTTGAGTGATTCACTTGGGAGGCTCCATCCTGGATATGGGATAAGAGAGCATCCCCTGGCCCTTCTCCATGAGGAGGTCAAGAACTCGCCTCTCACCACAAGGGATGCCTTTCCTACAAAGCATCCCACTCCCTTTCTCTCTTCCCTGTCTTCCTCTTATTCATGAGATATTACTTACACTTATTTGTTTACCAAAAGATATTTGTTAGTTCCTGTAAGAGGTCAGCACCATTCTAGCCATTGAGCACATAGTTCTCTGGTCTCATGACAAAACAGGTTCCCTGGCCCCACAGAACTGGCATTTTGGTAGTGGAGACAATAAATAAATAATAAATGAATACATGCATGCATACATACATTTTCCAAAACCATGGAAACATATATTCTATGAAGAAAATAATTGAGCAAAATAAGGGGCTAGGACATGGGTGAGGGACTCTTGGAGATAGGCTGACTGGGGAATATCTTTTGAGAAGTTGTCTTTTTTGCATATGCATGGAAGAAGCGAGAGAGTGGACCACTTGTTGACCTGGGGAAGCCTATTCCTTCAGAGGAACAGGAAAGGCTCCCTGCAGGCAAGGGTAAGCTTGCAGGGCAAGAAAATCAGCAGAACCCAGTGCATCCGGAGCAGGGAAGTCAGATGGGCAGGGATAGAAGGCAGCAGAAAGATAAGGAGGACCCAGATCATGTGGGCTTGGTGAGTGCTTTGGTTATTATTTGGGGTGTAAAGCAAAGCTATTACAGGATTCTGCGCAAGAGTGAAAAGAGAAAAGGTGCCATGGTGTGTGGTCTGAATAAGCCCTCTTACATTTCCTCTGACTCTAGGGAGGTAAGAACAGAAGCAAGGAGACTATTACAGTGCTCCAGAAGAGAGAGTCAATGGTGGATTTCAGAGAGCAGAACCACAAAGAGTGATTGGGATTAGGACTGACCAACAATATTTGGTTTCAAGAGTAATGATTTTCTTTCCTAGCCAACACTGAAGCCGAGTCTGATTCCTAATTCAGAGTTAGGAAACCATGAGACCTCCAAGTCCTCTCCTCTCCTCTCATCTCCTGGACACATTATAGATTTTTCAGTATCCACAACTGAATGCAAGACTGTGTTCCGGCTAGTGCAGCATGCAGGAGACTATGACCCAGGGGTGGCATGTCACATAATGGTTAAGAATAGAGAGACTTGGCTTCTAACTTGGCTAGATTTCTTAGTAACTGTATGACTTTGGGCACGTTCTGTCATCTCTCAAAGCCTCTGTTTTCTTACATGAGAAATAAAATTAATAGTCCCTAAAGAGTTGTGTGTGGGCACATTGACTCCCGCCTGTAATCTTAGCACTTTGGGAGGCTGAAGCAGGGGCATTGCCTGAGCTCAGGAGCTCGAGACCATCCTGGGCAACACGGTGAAATCTCTTCTCTACTAAAATATAAAATACAAAAAATTAGCCCAGCGTGGCGGTGGGTGCCTGTAGTCCCAGCTACTCAGGATGCTGAGGCAGGAGAATCACTTGAACCTGAGAGGCAGAAGTTGCAGTGAGCCGAGATTGCACCACTGCACTCCAGGCTGGTGACAGAGCGAGAGCGAGACTCCATCTCCAAAAAAAATGGAAGAGTTGTGTGTGAAGATTAAAAGGTTGCTCAGGTAAAGCTATTACAACTTTATCAGAAATAGAATAAGCTCTCAATATTTGTACAATATAAATGTGACATAGTGGGTGTGTATAACTCCTGCAAGGAGTACGGTGATCGGCCTAACATCAGATGTAAACACAGCAATGGCTTCATGCAGTTTAGTGGGTCAAGAGAGCCACACCTCTGCCTCCAAGGGAGATACACCTCTGCCTCCAAGGAAGACCAGTAAAGGCGTTCTCCTCAACTCAGCAACTGGCCTAATCCCAATTTCCTCATTGCTGTTTTCTGATGTTGGTTCTGCTCTTGTTAATCCGGAAACACAGACCAGTCATGCTTGTGTTGCTCCACTGTCACTCATCCAGAGCCTCACAAGACCTTTGGACCATATCAACTTTCTTGCCAAAATGAACACATCCAGGAGCAGGAGAGAATGTTCTTTCCTTGGTCATTAAGGGGCCTGGAAGTCCTGGACCAGCTTTTCAAACACTTACATGCAGCTAGAGCCTTGACTTTGAAACCAGGGACAAGGGCATCTCTCGCTAAAGGTAACTTCTACTGCTCAGAACCCAGGTATGGGGAACTTCTTTCACGTCTCTGTGTTTAGCCTTAAGGTGCCTCTGGGAATCTTGTCAAAGGTATAGAGTACTGAAGGAACCAAGGCTGCTTGCAAGTGTGCAGATTGGTGATCTGCTTACCCACTGTGTGGACAACTATTGAATCAGACATCAAAGATCCTGAGGGAAGGAGGGTTGTGAACAACTGATTCTCATTGTGGAGAGTCTGTGATATTCTTGGGGACTGTTCTGGTGCCCTAACTAGAAAACCAGAGGCAGATGACCCCTAATAGTCAAAGCCCTTTGTGGAGCCCACCAGTGGCCATGTGCAGGATCCTTACAGATGTCTCTTTGGATGAGGAATGGAGGAAGATGGGCTCAGTGAGGCAGGTTAGCTACCAAGTACTTAGGAGTGTTCAGCTTCAAGTGAGGAGAAGTGGTGATTAACCTGCTGTGTGGAGGGCTAAAATGGAAATACATACACACACTCCCTCCCTCCTTCCTCTCAACCCAGAGACTCAGGGCACTAGAAGGTGCCTGTGGTGATGTGTTGGAACGTCCTAACAATCCCAGATGCAATGAATGGAAAGCATGCCAAGACCTTCACATCCTGGAGAAGCAGGACTATGCCAGCCACAGCACAGAGGGGAGCTTCCATTCAGGGTTTTGTGGCCTTGAAATATGCTGTACCCATCCTTATTCTCAAATATGCATCTGGCAGAGGCTCTCAGGGCAGCTCTCTCTAAAGAATTTTTACAGTAAAATTTTAGGAGGAGAGGAGAAAAAAGCATAACATTTTTCTTCTCTCCTTCTCTCACATGGCCAACTGTTAACAACCTCCTCACCACCATCTGATCTATCTGGTTCTCTTCACAACAGGCTCGGAAGACATCATGAACCCACAATGTAAGTGGTGAGTTGCAAATCAGCTTGGAAATATCTCCACCTGACCTCACCAAAGACAATAGGATGGAAGGACCCCTATCATTTGCTAAGCTATCAATGTATTTGCTCTTTCTAAAACACTCAGTTCATAAAACAGCCTTTGAAAATCTCAGGGCATCTAGCTCTTTTATTATTATCTGTATTTAGAATTGCTTGCTTATTTTGATAAGAGGATTTTTAAAAACAACATACTGATAACTAATTTAAATATTATGAGGTTTTGTTACCACCTAGACATTTTATCATTCAGAAAAAGACAAGTCACTAATAGCCCTAGGAAAATGTGAATCTTGGGACTGGGATTGCACATAGATTCTTTCAGATGCTTTGATTCACAAACTAGCCCCTGCCCTATTTCCCCTCCATTTATCGTTATAGCCACTACTTCTCAGAGCAATGAGACTCTCTCCAGAAACTCAAAAGCCATTAATACCAGGATGCAACTGGAGTCTTGAAGTTGATAACCTCACATGTATTTTGTGCATTTTTGTCATCTGGCAGGGCAGGCAGCACCCAAATCCTATGCTATTCGTGATTCTCGACAGATGGTGTGGGTCCTGAGTGGAAATTCTTTAATAGCAGCTCCTCTTAGCAACAGTGTTAAGCCTGGTGAGTGACAATCAAAGCCACTGTTGCTTCTTGAGGTGATGCCAGCTTCACCAGGAATGAGGCTGAACTTGCACAAGCCTGGCCCTGGACCTCGCCCACGTCTAGGTACCAGCCCAATGGCCACAGGGAAGGTCAAGTGAGAAAGGGTACTATGATTCCCTTCCACAAAGGAAATCCCATATCTAGAAATGAGGGTGTTAAGGGTTGACAGCTCCTCTTACCAAAAGAAAATATCTTCAGATTAGAAGGGCTTATCCATTCAAACAACAGCTAGCCTTCTCCTTGGAGTTTCTCTCCTTCAGGTTCTAACCATTGCTACCTATGTCCTCAGATTCAAACTCCATCATCTTTCCACCACCAAACCTACACAACTTTCTAAGTTGGCATCCTCTTTTCTAATAATGGGGAAATATTCCTTCCTCCCATCAAAAGTCAGTCCATCTCAGTTTCTTTCCGTGTATCCAGAACTTCAACGTTTAATTCCTTACTTCCCTGCAAATTCCACCTTTGTTTACTGGACCTTTTCTATCATTGTCAGACATGCTGTAACCTTCTCTTGATTCCCACATTTTCCTCCTACCAACACTTTTTCTTATGCCAATCATAGCAAAACTTCACAAGAGCTGGCTACATAGTTTGCATTCTGACATCTGGATTACTCTGACTACTCCTCCCAACCTCCTATTTCACCTATGACCTTCCAATACTCAAACCCAAAGGATACTTCCTGGTCCCCATGCTATTTGGCCCTCAGCTCACTAGTGTAATGGACCATTTCCTTCTTGAATACTCTACATCTTCTCCCTTTTTATTTTTTAAATGGAGTCTCGCTCTGTCACCCAGGCTGGAGTGCAATGGCGTGATCTCAGCTCACTGCAACCTCCACCTCCCAGGTTTCAAGCAATTCTCCTGCCTCAGCCTCCGGAGTAGCTGGGATTACAGGTGCCCACCACTGTGCCTGGCTAATTTTTGTATTCTTGATAGAGATGGGGTTTCACTATATTGGTCAGGCTGGTCTCAAACTCCTGACCTCATGATCCGCCCACTTCGGTCTCCCAAAGTGCTGGGATTACAGGCGTGAGCCACCACGCCTGGCCCATCTTCTCCTTCTATAAGAACATTACTTCTCCTGAGGTTTGCTGGCTCCTCTTTTGCATTTTCCTTTATGACTCTCCTTTGTCTCTGAAATCTCCAAATGATGATGTTCCTGAGGGCTCAGCCAGTCATCATTTATAAGCCCTGTGAATGGGCAACGAGCTGATCCTTTGGAATGATGAATCACCGCTATGCTCATTCACTCTGCCGTTGACATTTGCAACACAGAACTCCTCTCTCAATGGTTTACTCACGTCCTCTTGAGGTCCTCTCAGATACCTCTAACTTCATGTATCCCAAGTAGAACAATGGATCTGTCTTCTCAAAACCGCTAATGGTCTCTGCTAGTGGCATTTCTGTTCACTCCATTTCCTCAAGCCAGAAATACAGGAGACATCCTTGATTCCTCCTTTCCCTCACTCTCCATCCAATCTATTAGCAAAGATTGGTAGGTCCACGTGCAAAACATGCCTGATTTCTAAGATAACGTCATCTCTTGCCGGGACCACTGCCATCACATTCTCACTATCCCCCTCTCACTTTATTTGGGTAGCCTCCATCCCATCTCATGTTGTGGCCCATGAGATAGAAGCTCCCCACTTTTATCTCACAGGCCACATCTTAAGCGTATGACCACATTTTGCTGCAAGGGTGGTGGGAAATTTTACTTTTCTTTTTGGGAAGCGATGTATCCTGGTGACAACTGGGGTTCTGTTATTAAGGAGGAAAAACAAAATAGGTTTGAGGGGGTGATGGAGGGTCTCTGCCACATGGCTGATGGGAGGAGCCTGTCACTATTCCCTGCCTGGGAGGAGTAACTGAGTGTCAGACCAGAAAGATTGAAACATCTTCTCCATCTTCCTTTGTGTTTCCAGTCACTCTTCATTTAATAACCTGCAGAGACGCAGAATTCAGTGATAAGAAAAAGGGTAATCTGGTTTACCTGGGAATCAAGGGAAAAGATCTCTGTCTCTTCTGTGCAGAAATTCAGGGCAAACCTACTTTGCAGCTTAAGGTGAGTGATTGTGCAGCTAATGAGAGAAGTACTGTCAAATGGACTTTTTATTTCATTCAGTATGCTACTGAATAAAACTAATATTCTTGCAATCCTGGGTTATTCAATGTAAGGAAATAATTCTGACCTGGCTGATCCCCGAATCTACAAATGCTGCCTTTGGAATGGATATAACACTTCTTTTAGTGTCAGAGCATAGATCCTCTGAAAGATAGCAAGTACACTCACAGGAATGTTTCAGAAAAGCCAAAGAACAGTAGTTTCTCCATTCCCGGTCCTGATGAACTGCCTTCTGGAAATCCTCTAAGATGATGGGATGCTCTCACTAAAGCAAAGGCCACTGCACAGCGGAGGAGACAAAAAGAGATTGTGAATGTGAATTTTGAAGCTTACATGTTTATGGTCTGTGTATCATAAACACATAAATCTTACCAAGGCAATATTGTAGTTATGAAGCTAATCCTTCTGCTATTGATGGAAGTTGTAATGTGTAAGCCCACTTGGAGGTTGAGGATGCAGCAAGACTGGCAGGAACCGGCAGACACATGCATACCAAAAGCACCAAGAGAGAGATTTAAGCCTCCCTCTGTTCCAGGGAAGACAATGATGCTTCAAAGAGTCAGAGTACCTTGTGTCAGAGGATCCTGGAGTGGAGCCAGGCTGTGGGAACCCAGCCAGTTCCCTGTTTTAACAGTCTAATGCCCTGCTTCATCTGCCTTTGTCCCTAGCCTCTGTCCCTTCCTTTAGGGGCAGCAGTCCCTCTCCTGTTGTACACTCAGGGCTGAGTTACTTTAGCTTCCTCCTCCCACCCTCCTCTCTAACAAGCCTGTTTTCCACCCCCAGGAGAAAAACATCATGGACCTGTACATGGAGAAGAAAGCACAGAAGCCCTTTCTCTTCTTCCACAATAAAGAAGGCTCCACTTCTGTCTTTCAGTCAATCTCTTACCCTGGCTGGTTCATAGCCACCTCCTCCACATCAGGACAGCCCATCTTTCTCACCCAGGAGAGGGGCATAACTAATAACACTAACTTCTACTTAGATTCTGTGGAATAAATCCAGCCTAGGCTGTGGATAGAGAATCAAGCTGTCAGAGTCATCTTAACAGACCATCATGTGACTGAGTTCACCAGCACTTCAGTCTATCCATAACTTACCTCATTCTTACCATCCAAAAGCCACCTCCTCCTCCAAACATCCATTTCTGTACCAAGACCCTCACTTGAATTTCACTATCCCGGATTGAAACCTAAGAATCACTTTCCATTCTTTCTTGATCTTACCCCACCATCCACTCAGCTGCCATGCCCAGTTTAGTCAACCACCCGAATGCTGCTTCATGCAACCTTCCTTTCCTATTCCTTTTTCCAACCCACGATGTAGAGATGTGGATTCGTGACATTTTTGTTCATAAAACTTTTTCAATAAAAGAATAGGATGCATTAATTTTTTACGTGTTTATTATGAACATTCTAATATGTACCCCAAAAATAAAGTGAAAGAATGGGATGAATGTGAAATTAAGAGTTTGCATGTCTTCATAATCGTAATGAATTCTTAATGTCATTAGTTAATAATTTAACAGTGTATACACTTAACCCTTGAACAACACGATTTTGAACTGCACAGGTTCACTGAAACACTGATTTTTTTCAGTAAAAGTTACACCAAATGTCCCTGCTTCTCCCGCCTCCCACTCTAACTCCTCCACCTCTTCTGCCTCTCCATCCCTGAGAGCAAAAACAACCCCTCCTGTCTCTTCTCCTCAGTCGATGTGAAGATGATGAGGATAAAGGCTGTTATGATGATTCACTTCCACTTAATGAATAACAATAATATGTTTTTTCTTCCTTACGAGTTTCTTATTAACATTTTCTTTCCACTAGCCTACTTTGTTGTAAGAATACGTTATATAATACATATAACATACAAAACATGTTAATTGACTGTTTATATTATTGGCAAGGCTTCTGGTCAACAGTAGGTTATTAGTTAAGTTTTTAGGAAGTCAACAATTACACAAGAATTTTTGACTGTACTGCTACCCCCATGTTGTTCAAGGGTCAACTGTACTTTGGTTAAGTTGCTAACCATGGAGAATATAAACCAATCCATATTTTAAAAAATCATTTATATTGGTTTTAATTTCCTTCAGACAACTTCTAGAACTGGATTTTTTTTTTGTTTTTACTTTGTAAAGTAGCTGGAAGAAGCATCAGCTATGACACTTTCTTGTTATTATTCATGTTTTCTGTAATTTTGTTCGTATACATTCAATCTACAGCTCTTTTATAGGGATATTTTTAAGCCAGTTGTCCATTTTGTGAGGGTTATTTTAATTAAAGTTTGTAATATAATCTGCAAATTCACTAACAAAGTACATGTAGACTGCAATAAATATACCATAATATCCTGAGCATGAACATGAGCATAACAGGCTGTCTTCTCTCATGAGACCTTGTCCTTCTTTGCACATGACAAGCAGGCATATTGGGTCTTGCAACGGGCACCGACTGATAAATTCAAATTTCTCAGCCAGGCATAATTTGTCCCCAAACCTATTCTTCTGGCATTATCTCTCATTTCTTCAGTGCCCCCCCATTCTGTTTGGGATACTCCTTGAACCCCACCTTACATGCTGTTAGCAGACGTTTTACTCCAGTCATTACCGTGCAACCAACTTTGAGACAGTGTAATCTGGCAGTGTATTATCTCAGCAACATTGAACATTTCTCTCTTCCAGCTTCAGGCCTCCCAAGATAATGTAGGGAAGGACACTTGCTGGAACCTAGTTGGAATTCACACATGCATAAACCTGGTTGTGAGAGGGAGCTGCTGCATGGGAACCCTTGACCAATGGGGAATGGGAGTGGGTGAGGAGCAATTTCTCTTATCCGTTCCACAGGTGGACAGTTCTGAGATGCATTCATTCTTCATGGTTCCTCAGAGGTTTCCAGCAGCATTAAGACGTAATCACCCATGGCAGGGCTAAGTTCAAGAACACATCCTGAATTGACTTCCCTCATTTCCCTGCTTCAATTTCCCCAGCCCCTTCTCATGTTTCCTAGAGTCAATTGTCATCCTCTTGCATGCAAACCCTTGTCTCAGGCTCTGCTTTCTGGTATAAACCTAGGCTAAGACAGATTCTATCAAAACCAACTTCTCTTCTCTACTCCTCCAACACATTGAATTTCTTCCCTCTATGTCCCTGCTCATGCCTTTGCACACATCTCAAACACTTCCATTGCTGCCTATGTCTTACTAACATCCTAAAACCCTTCCAGCTGTTTAGGGGACTCTCCTCATCTCTCCAACCAAAGGCAACCTCTTATCTTCTGAGAGGTCTGTAGCATTTTTGCTTTCTCATGGGACATTTGTTTTCTTAGGCTTTGTGCTATAGCTTCTTCTCCTTATCTTGACCCATTTGCTCTCTTCTCCTCAACCAGATTCTAGGTACATAGAGGCAGAAATTTGTCTCTTTCATTTATGAACTCCTTTTATGCACCAAATCTTCCCTCTCTCTTAGCAGTTTCTCGGAATATATTGTTGAAGCAAATTAATTTTCATTTAATGTATTAGCATCTTCCCATTATTACCAAAGTGCGTCAGGGAGAATCTGCATTATCATGACCGGGGCAGCCCTCCTGAAGATCTCAGCTCGCAGCCAGCATCATGTGGGTGAAGGAGTCTCTCACAGTTGATTGTAGTCCTAGCCTTCACCTTAGCTGAAACTAAGTGGTGCACAGATTAGCCATGCTGCCAAGCCCTTCCTAAATTAAAGATTTGCAAGCAAAAAAAAAAAAAAAAAAAAGAAGTGTCCAAGGAACTGGAAAGCTTCTCAAAGAAAATGCAGAGGAAAAACATAGAAAGGCTGCTTAGAAACTTCCCTGTCTCAATTCTTCCTCCTCTTCCCCATATGCCAATATGTCCCCAGGGGAATGCGATGATACAAGGGCATCCACTCGGGAGGAGATGGCTGCAGAAATGAAACATAACCAAGAGTATCCCCAGGAGCTTCTAGCCAGTATCCTGTGCCTCCCTCTTGGAGGGCTCAGTGCACAGTCTGAGGGTTTGCACTTTGTCCAAGTCTTTCCCCATATGTATTTATGCATAAGCACAACAGCATAGGGGCACAAGAGAAGGAGCCCAGGGAAATTCACCATTGCAAATGTTTTTTCTGACAAGGTCAGGACTAAGCACAAGATGGCCTCGAGGATGGCCATGAAAGACTTGCAACAATGTACTTGGATACACAGTACATAGATTTTCTGAGAAGGGCTGCAAAGAATGTGAGTTCTATAAATAGCTAAATGTATAGAAAGAATCTATAGGAAGATGGTGATGAAAAACACAATGTAATCCTGGACTATGCTTATAAATATCAGCTTCCCAGCTATCCCAGGGGTATTGAACATGAGCAAGAGATAGACAGCCAGCCCACCTTACATCGCACCACCTGTGCCCTCTGCCAGAGGAGTGAGAACATTGTGGTGGTGAAGGAGGAAGAAGAGGAGGAGAAACCACAGAAAGACTCAAGAGGTGTCCTCAGATATTTTATTTGCTCTCCTGGATCCAGGGATACGATGTTCTTTGCTTAAATCTAAGAACCACAGGAGAAGGCACGGGACAACAGATTTCTGTTCAATCTGTATCAGAAGGCACTACCCAAACAATATGGGTTTCCTAAACCTTGCAAGGAGGTAGACTAATTCCTTGTCTATCTGTAGTATGGAAAAAATAAGGCCAACACACACACACACACACACACACACACACACACGAAATAGAATATCGATAAATGGAGAAAGAGCATGAGCAGTGTTATTCCCCCTGTTCCAGTCTCTGAAGTTCTAGTTCCTGTGACCTTTTTTTTCCAGCCTGTGAGATACTCTAATATTCAAAGAGATGTTGATGCTTTTGTTGCTTTCTTAAGCAACAGTCATGGTCCTCAGACCCAGGACTATTGAATGGTGGGTTTTTCACAGGGTAGTAGAGAGTTTACCCTTGTGACACTCAAAGACAGTTTGTCCCCTGAATCTCTTCCATTCAGAAACCTGAATGCAAGTCCATTTCAGAGATCCCTACACGCTTCCACCCATCCTTTCTCTTCAGTTTCCGTCAGCATGCATATCTGCCCTGCCCTTCCCTCAACTTCAGTTTCCTTTATTCTTCAGAAGCGAAAATGTAAAAAACTCTATAACCTTGCAACTGAGAATCTTTGTCTCTCACTTAGGTCAATAAGTTTATTTTAACATTGTTGATGATCTAATGTGAATTAGGGGCAAGAAAACAACACTTGGGTTGTCAATAAGAAAGAAGGGGAGATAAATATGCAGTTAAAGAACAGATCAGTTAACTACCTTATTAGTTTGAGTTGCTTACAAGTAGATTTCTGATTATAAAAAGAATACTTCAAATTCAACTCTAGGCCATATGGTTGGGAAGTAACACCAGAAATAAGTGAGTAAACTACATGGAAACCCATAATGTCATTCTGTTAATGGATTTCTCCTTAACTAAGGATGCAATTAAAAAGGAGACAGAGACTAGCAAAGACTGTTCAGTTGACAATATCTAACAGCAATCATCAAAAGATCAAAAACCATACACTGATGTTCTCTGTTTCTTGTACCGTTTAGCAGGTTAAATTTTGCAGATTACAGCTCTAGTTCTCTAAAATCAGTTTTATCTATTCCTATAATAGCAGTATGGCCATAATAAAAGCCACATCTAACTGACTAAGGCCAAATCCACTAGTAAAAACTTCTCTGAACTCACCATGTAGTTTGAACCCCAAACAACAAAGCTTGTGTTTATCTCAAAGGAAGTGTCAGGATCAATAATTTGAATTATTCAACAAATATGTTTTGAGCACCTATGCTGTTCTAAGTGCTGGGGACATAGTAGTAAACAAAAAGGTGAAAATATGGCCATCCTCATGGAACTGACATTAAATTTTGAAGGTCTGTAGGTAACAGTGCCTCCTTCCAATCCCCATCCACGTTCAAACATTTTGAAACTATGTTGATGCCAAAATCAAAATCATAGCAGTGTCTTTATTAATGCTACAGCTGGGTTAGGGAAGTGAGAGGTGCCTCTTAGTCTTTTGGGGCCTCAGTCTAGACTTTTGGGGCCAAAACCATGCCCACCAACTCTAATTTCATTTTCTCCAGCCCCTATAATAATCCGTCACTCTTCAGCAGAACCAAGTGAGTAAGGCTGAGTGGAAGGCAAACTCCAAGCTGCTCCATGCAGCCTCAGTGTAGAATCTGCCCTCTTAGCCCCTATGCAATTGGTGGTTTAGCAAATGTCCACATCTTGCTAAACCTAGGAGATACTTCTCCTCTCCTGCAGGTAGAGAGAAGTGGAAGAGTTCCCTTCAACATCGCCACCTTAGAAAGAAGGACAAAGGCTTCCCATCCATGTGGACCAACATAGGAATGCCAGGAAGGACATAGAAATAAGAGGAGGAAGATTCCCATCTCTTCCATCTTTGAGTGGGTTTGGTATCAAGGAAATGCTACAAATGGAATAAGTTGCAAATTTTTCTCTTTTATTGGGTTCTGGAGAGTTTGTAAAACAAGGACACTGTCTGTTTTTAAAGAGTTGGTAAATCATACCTGTAAAGCTAGAGAAGGTCGGAGTCTGTTTAGAAGTCAATTTGGACTACATAGCCTGTACATGTGTTTTGTCCAGTCCTTAGAGCGTTTTTTTAAAAATTGTAAAGTCAAGGTTTTCATGAAAAATGGGAAGATCAGACAGTATTGTTCCTGAATTCCCACAGAGCAACAAGCTCCTAGAGCTCAGTCTGTTATTTCTTTTCTTGATGTATAGGGGTTAAATCCTGTGGAAGAAACAGCAGAATTATTCAAAATTATTTACATAATATGCAATTATTCCCTAGAGCATGAGAAGAGAAAAGCTCTGTTTAGTATGTATCAGTTAAAAGAAACACATATGATTAAAAGTAATTGAAAGACATTTCTTCTTAAAACTTCTAGAATCTTATGCTAGTAAAATAAACTAGTTTTTCCCATGTAATCAAGTCTATATGATATTATTTTTATAATATATTATTTTTCTTCATCCATTTGCCTTTAGTTCCCATGTGAGCTGCTCTTTATCTACCATGGGCAGAACCGTGTATTTCCATTGCTATGTAATAGGATCCCAGTGAGTCTTTTTCTCCCAAAAGATGCAGCAACAAAAAGTTAGGGATTATAGCCACGGAAAATACAGTCAGTTGTTTCTTACAATGGAATAGTAACAGTCTAGGCCTCCTACTGTAGCCACCAGGTAGCCACCCTGGGTATCCACTCTTTCATCCATTGATTTGCTCAGCACCACACCTAGTTATTGTATCAGAAAATTTTCAAGCATACAGAACGTAATGGGGACCACAGTGTTTGAGAAACATAGCCCCTGCTAAAACTACTTTCTTCACACGCTGTTCACACTTTTCACTTTTTAAAATGTTAATTTTTCAGTTATTAATACATCGATACATTCATCTTGAAATAAAGTTAAAATATACCAGATAAATCCAAATTCTTTCCCCCCAGATCCTAGTTCCTCTTTCTCCACCCCAATGGTAACCACTGTTATATGTTGGTGTCACTCTGGCTATTTCTTATGCATTTACATACTCATAGGCTCCACTGGAAGCATGCAATGTTGTTTTATGTGTGCCCCTGTGCATCTGTATGTACGTGTCCGTGTGCGCGCGTGTTTCTCTAACTGAAATAATAAAATACATATTTTTCTCCAACTTATTGTTTTTTTGAGACAGTCTCA